AAAAAAAAAAACACCCCAAGTTACCCCTCCCCTTGTGGGTAAATGTCCAGCCAAACAGGGTTGGCCTGAAGCAGGCCACTTCTGGTCCAAAGCACCTCCTGGTGGGGACCCATAGGAAAGGGGCCTAAGGGGCCAGAGAAGTTTGGAAGGAAAAGCACAAATTAAACACTGCCATTGTCTAGAGACCGCCATTGTCTAGAGACCGCCATTGTTGAGAGACCTTCCCGCGGGTCTCTCACCCACATCCTATTTCAAGTGTCTCCTTCCATGTCCCTCAAGTCTCCGGTACAAGTCCCTGACTGAGAAGTATGTCTTTTCTCCATATCTCTGCTCCACGTCTCCTTCCATTTCTCCATTCTTCTTATTTCCTTTCTCCAGTCTCTTCTCCAGCCCTTCCCTGCTCAGCTCCACCCTTCCTTGGATGGGGTGGGGGACCTGGAACCTCCCCTTTCCTGGGGACCACTTTGTTGCCTTAATGCTATTTGAATGCTATTCATAGGGTACCTGCTATCATAAAGTTACAATGGCTTTCTTATCCAGCTGCTTGCTTTTCCTTAAAGTTAATAATTACCCAGTATCTTTTGTTTCCTAGGTCTGATGATACAGTTGATAACACTGTATGGTTTAAAACTAGAGAAATGCATTCTTTCAGCATTGTAAAGGCTGGAGATCTGAAATTGAAGTGGGGGCTGGGGGGCATCCCCTCTATGAAGTCGCCAGGGATGAATCCTTCATTATTTAACTGTTTAGTCAGCAAAAAGTTTCTCTGGGGCTTAGTTTTGCCTCTTCCATTTTGTCACAAGGGTACTGCTCCTTCTTTATACCACAAATTAAGGGGAATGGACATTACAGTTGTTGCCTACAAGTCTTATTGTGCCCCATTCTTATTGACACCCCTGGGTCACTGCTCATATTTGAATTGATCCTGTAACCAGGGAGATGTACTGACCTCACTTCTCTTGGGACTGTCACAGGGTAGTCCCCAAGAAAAGAGGAGTTTCCCACCCCATCCAAGGAAGGTTGGAGCTGAGCAGGGAGAGGGAGAAGCCAGAGAGGAGACTGGGGAAAGGAAGCAAGCAGGATGGAGAGGCAGGAGGAGACCTGAGGGAGGCACAAGGAACAGAGGCATGTGAAGAAGCTGCCTTTGCTTGAAACAGATGTGGGTGAGAGAATGGTGGGGACATTAACGATGGCAGCGCTTATCTTTTTTTATTTTTCAAAGATATATTTTTGTGTAGAAGACGGGGATATAGGCCAAAGGTGTGGGGGGGAAGGGCTCACCAGAGGTGGAGTGGGGAGCAGACCAGGTGGATCCACTGAAATACACCGCTGAAGGGAGCAGTGGGTGAGACAGGAGCGGTCTGCTGCATCATGTGGGTTAGCTCCCTGGCCGGATATCGGACTCAGGTCATAGGAATGGTAGCACTGAGACTCAATCCCTCGGCCACCAGAGAGGCTTCGTGGCATTTATCTTGATTTTTCTTTGGTTCTTTCTGTTCCAGTTGTGATGGCCTCCTTCGGCCCCTCTCTGTGTCCTCACCAGGAGCTGCCTCAGACTCGTGGCAGGCTTTTGGGCATCATGACTCTCTTGTGGGTCAACCCGGTTTGGCTGGACATTTCCTGCCTTATAGCAAGCACTGGAGTGGGGTCTCATCATAGCCAGATAGATAGAAGGGCAAAATTATGGTGCTGACAGGGCTGCTAAGAGAAAAACACAAAATGTCTGCTACTTGGAAGTTTCTCCTGTTAGTTGAAATAAAAGCCTAACGGTACTTAAAGTGTTTATTAGATAATTAAAGCAAGGACTTGCATGCAGCCAGACAGATTTTTCTCTATGAAAATGATTCTCTAAATGTTTTCTGGGACCAAGATGCAGTGGGCTTTAGTAGAGTCTGGAAACTTTTGCCCCCTCCCCCCCCATATCCTTTTTTGTTATCATCCATGGACCATTTGCTGGTGCTTTTCTGAGGTGTCAACCTTGGGATCAGCCTTTGCAATATGTTAGAGATGTGTTGTCTGCTGCATTTTGCACCAGTTTTCATTTATGGGTAATAA